ATTTGTTATTTTGTTCAAGCTGCTTGATTAGTGGTTAATGCTTTTTTTAGATTTTCATCTTTTAAGCAGCTTGAATGAAGGAAGCTAAACATTTAGGGCAAACTGGAGGGCAATCAGATAAATGCTTTGCGAGATAAAAATAACTTCCCTGCAATACAAATATTTTTAGATCAAATAAGGAGAGAACATCGTACCCTTAAATTGGCTCATCAACAGCATTTTTTGTTGAAAAATAATAAACAGATTTAATCTTTATGTGCATGAAAAATCCTAATTTGGCCGACGTTTAATACTAATTAAACCGTTTTCTCTAGAAGGGTTCACTAGTCACGTGTTTAATCAACACTTAGTTTTTTTCAGAAAGCAGCATGCTTCAATGATAATATATTTACATGGTGACTTTCTGAAATAACCCTTTGTTGAAGTCTTCTTTCAGTGGCAGGTGTGTGGGTTTACTCATGAAAATAAAAAAGGGGTTGGCAGGCAATTTCAGAAAAGCATTTCACAGTCAATTTAGAATAACTGTTGGGGCTGAAAACTAAATTTGCATTCTTTGTTACTTTTATTCTGGTGCGAAAAAAGTGATGTTTACAACCTCAGCTCAAACTATGAGGTCACGGTTACTTGAAATGATTGATTGACATAATAGTCCCGCTACAAATTGTGTACATAACTTGCTAGATGTTATCAAGCCAGTGGCGAATGCAGAACAAAAAGCAAAAAAGGGTTGGTGTCGTAGGTTCAAAAAGAATAGGATCCATATTCATTTGTTATACGATTTTATATTGTTGCATCGACTCAGTTGTCTTGTGTCTTATCCGTCAGAGAGAAACCATTATTTATTTTATTTTAATTATCATACATTTTACCTCCTTGTGTTGTTAACCTGATCAAATGTTATATGTTGCTGCATGCACTTTTCAAAGTTCTTAACAAATAATCTGAGGGGAATTTCTTTTTAACTTGTGATGTGTCATTTTGTAAAGCGCTTTGAGCTGCATGTGTTGTATGAAAAGTGCTATATATAAATAAAGCTTCATTATGTAGATTGTGTGTTGTTTTCTACCTGGTAGGAGCTGGTGGCAGGAGTAAAGTCTGGGAGGGGGCTGATCCTGGAGCAGCCGTGCCCACTGAGACAGGGAAGGGGCTGGCAGGATGGACCGCTCCGCCCTGAGGCAGCTGGGACTGGACCACAGGCATGGGAGCTATCTGGATGATCTGGCATGGAAAGGGGAAGTCATAAAGAAAACAACAAACACACATTTATAGATGAACAATGCAAGTGGTCCTACTTTGATACAATTTGATTCTCATATCAGTGTCTGCAGTGCTGCCGTCTCACTGACCTTGCTTCCCGTCTGAGCGCCGTTCTGGACAGGAAGGGGTGGAGCTGGCGCTGTCCGTACTGTTGCCATGGGAACAAACATTTTGCCCTGGAGCACTGGAGATTGTGTTTGCACTGAAGCAAGTAAAGAGAAGAAAGGAAGAATTAGTGATTTTATGCGTAGTGACCACAGAATTATAGCCAAATGCACTCTACTTTCTAAAAGCTTATTTATGCTCAATTGCCGCTTTCACACAAAGTACTTTGCTGTACTTAGTTCCCAGCACTTAGTACCCAGCACCCCCATGGAACTAAAGAGCAGATCGCGTTCACACCGGAATAAGTTCCTGAGGGTGAACGCAAATGAGCCGCTGACGTCACTTCTTCACTTCTTCTTCTTCTTCTGCTGCTGCTTTGGGTTTACTGGCAGGCCGCTAACAACTTCACGGCGTATACTGAAGTCCCCGGAGTTAGCCTTCCGAGTAAATCGCCAGAACGCCGACACCTCGTCATCACTCCACCGCTCCCATGTTTTTTTTTTGTGTTGCCATAAGTTAGTCTCTCTCCGTTGGTGCGCGGGGCTAATGCTAATGCTAATAATGCTAATGCCAGCAAATACAATGGCGGCTTCACAAAACTTTTCAGAGTTTTACGGGCAATTCGCCCAGCCAATCAGAAATTGGAACTTTTTTCTCCCCAGGAAAGTACTTGCTCTCTAGAAGGCACTAAAAAGGGGGGGAAAGTTCTCTTTTTGGTGTGAAAGCAAAATCGAAGGAACTATCGGAACGAAACGGGAAAAGTACTCCGGTGTGAAAGCGCCTATTGTGAGACGCGTTCAGGTGGAGCCTTCTGTTCACACACTGCATTCATTTTTTTGTGCATGTTTTCTAAAGCCAACAAATAAAAAAATGTAACAGTACCATAAGGATTCTTAGGATTCTCGCTTTGCTTGGAAACCGAGAAAAACATACTACATAACAACCGGGAAGAGATTAGATGAGAATAGAATTTGATTAGGAGCAGTATAAAAAGGCTATGCATGAGCGGTTAGTTGTTCCGAGAGTTCAGCTGCCTGATTCTGAACAAATTACTTATCACAATTATTTTTGACTGATATTTTTGTTTTGATGTGTGATTAACAATTAATACCTTTTGCATAATTTCTCTCAATATGAATCAAAAGGTTTAATATAACTTTTTTAAGATGATGTGTGTTTGAAATAGACTGTTCTGTTTTAGTCCATTAAGGTAGATCAAACAAGCCTCTAAAACTCTCACCTCTAGACCCCGGGCTGACCACTCCCACTGCAGAGCTGGACGTGTATCCGGACCCCTGCTGCTTCCCATTGGCCAGAGACATGTGTGTGGGTGGAGCTGTGGGCAGGTTGAAGATACTGGTTGGCTGGCTGAGATGCTGAGGAGGACTCTTGGGGTGGGTGTTGGCAGGTAGGGTGGGCAGGATGTACTGGACTTGTGTGATGGCCTTACCCCCGTGTGAGGCTAGGGAAGAGGCGGGAAGGAACTGGGGATGAAGCAGGGAGATAGGCAGGGGCCCGTTGGTTTGGCTATGAGACACAGCGGAGGAGGGGAAGGCTTGCTGCTGGTGGTGGGAGGGGGTGAGGAGCTGTACAGCAGGCTGAGCAGACAGAGCCCCTCCTAACACCAGGTTAGTCACGACACCACCATGGCCTGCACCTAAAGGATGAGGTGATGATGAAGAGTAGTACCCACCCCCTGTGGCTGGCAAACCGCCTCCTGATCCAATCAGAAAGTGCGGCTGCTGTTGGGGAGTTAGGGACTTCCTCTCTGGCGGATGAGGGCTGGACGATGTGCCTCCGTCTCTGGATTTGCTGGCGATGGGCAGCGGTGTGCTGATGACAGGACGCATCACATTGGTCACCACCGTGGACGCCACCCTCACAGCGCCCATACCCGGGAGAAAGGTCCCGCCCAGTGATCCTACCATGGAGGGGTGATGCCCTCCAGCTGAAGAAGTGGTGATGACTGATTGGCCAGAAGTGAGGGAGAGAGATGTGGCTTGCACTCCTCCTCCTCCTCCACCTCCTCCTTCTCCCCCAAATGTGTCCTTACCCTCTCCTCCTCCTCCTCCTCCTCCTCTGTCCTTCCTCCTGTGATCTGAAAACCCTCCCCCTCCTGATCGCCCCTCCTCATAACGCTTGCTGCTGGGGTAAGAGGACAGTGAGACACTCCTGCCATGCGGGGCATGATGTGAGGAAGACGAGGAGCAAATGACTGGAGCGAAAACCCTCTGTAAAGAAAGACATTCTTTTTAGATTAAATGAAGGCAAGTACTTTTGAATGACGATAGATAGATCAATAGATAGATAGATAGATAGATAGATAGATAGATAGATAGATAGATAGATAGATAGATAGATAGATAGATAGATAGTAGGGGTGTAACGGTAAACGTATTCGTACCGAAAATATTGAGTAATTTGCTCACATTGGGTTCAACGCGTCAAAGAGCGACCAAGTCATTTCATTGGACGAGAGGCATACTATGAGAGCTGGTCACAGGGATGCGTTCAAATGTAGTCAATAATTTGAGGAAATGGCGAACGCAGATAAAGTTGAGCTCGAAAATCCTTCAGCATCATTGAAGTCTCCGGTTTTGGAACATTTTGGTGTCGCAGTTACGTACAAGGATGACGGACAAAGACAAGTGGACCGAACCAAAGCTGTTTGTCGGCATTGTTCAACTAAAATTGGCAATACATCAAACTTGCACACTCATTTCAAAAGGCATCACCCGAACGTGAATATCACCGGTACCAAAAGAAAAAAGACTGAAGTGCAAACCAAACTCCCGCTAGCATTTAAGTCTCCACCACTCACAACACGTTCAGACCGAGCCAAAGCTATTACAAACGCCAGATATCCTTATGTTGCCATGTTAGCAAAGCGCTACCTGGCTGTATCTGCTACCTCTGTCCCTAGCGAGAGGGTGTTCTCCACAGCAGGAGGCATTGTTAGTGCCAGCAGGTCTGTCCTTTTCGGCAAGCAATGTGGACAAGTTCATTTTTCTTTAAAAAAAACCTGAAAATACAATGACAAGCATGTCCTAATGTCAAACTAGTACAGTTCAGTTAAA